TATAGCTGCCTTTGGAAGTGGAATTACATCTCTGACTCAGAAGTTAGGTTTTATATCACAATGGTATTCAACAAATAATGAGAAATTCTGAAGAACATGGAAAATTTAGGGGGCAAGGCAGAAACATACTGGAGCTGAGCTTTGGTTTGTGTGAATATGTATGTGATAACCAGCATATCTCTCAAAAAACAGGATGCCCAGAGTTGTTGTAGCTGCCCCATCCCTGGAAGTGCTCAAGGCCAAGTTGGAGATGGCTTTGAGAAATCTGCTCTAATGGAAAGTGTCCCCGCCCATGCTAGGGGGCTTGGAACTAAATAATCTTTAAGGTCCCTTCCAACACAAGCACTTGATAACTGTGGGTTCAACTAAATGGATTATGCCCTACATAATCCTGTCATCCACCAATTGAAGTATCTTCTTAGTTGGGAGGGTTTATATAGAAAAAGGCAGTAACCGCAATCAATTTTTAATTAAATATCTTCAAATCTATTCTGTCAGATTCTTTTTCTCTGCATGACAGCATGACTGAGGTTGAGTTTGCTCAAGAACTGATCTGCCAAAATTCTGAAGGAACCAAAATTAAAGTTACAATATTTCTTAAGCAAGGGTATAGATATGCTGCTTGATTTCCTGTTTTCTTTTCCCATCAAAATCTACTCTTTGTTTAAAAAAGCCTACCTAAATTTCCTTAAATTTTGCCAAGCCTTGAAACATGCACACACAGAAGTTGCACCTCAGAACAAACACTTTGCAAAAATACCTAAAAATAATAATTTAGATGTTTGAATAATTTTATATAGGATCATGATCTTTAATGTACAAAGTATGCTACAACACTTTGGATGAATGTGACCTGACATAAGGAATTAAAATTTCCTATAATAAAAGCATAACATTATTAACTGGAAGTTAGATATTTACCCAGTCTGTCATATCTCTGAACATTCTTCCTATATTTCTGTGAAAAACTGAATTCTTGTGCTTAGAGGAACATAATCCATGCAATCTATAAAAACAAAAGCCACTTTTCCAGCTAAATGTCTTGATCACAGAATAGCAATAAACTCACAGAACTGAAACAGAGAACATATCAAGTCATAATTTCAAAATCTGCACAGAGGAATGCCAAAGAATACATTTTAAAGCAATTACAGAAGATAATTTAAACAAAGCCCTAGCAACGGCCTTCAACAGTCAAACTGATAACTAGTTAGGTTACTTTAAAAGACATTTTCTTCTATGTTTAACCTCTGTGAACCCTTAACTTATGCAAACAGGCCTGAAGGCAAAAAGAAGAAAGCTGTAATCTATGGCACTGTTTTATTCAACAGATATATTTCTTTGAAAACACATCTACTCCACTGATGAGGAAAGGAACAGAAATTCCAGAATCCTGCCTCATGACTTCTTAAAATTTATTTCTAAATCTCTATGAATGCATATATAAAACAATACAATGTATATAATTTTCTCTTTCTCAGAGTCGAAAATAAGAAATGGCTATTTTTGTTTTCAGAGTATCTTTACAGAAGATTTGCCAGTATGTCAATCTTAATTCAAAGTTATAATGTTTAAATATGGTTAATGAAAAGAGCAAAGTGAAGAGAAGCAAGGAAGATATGTTTACTTAGGTTTTTGTGTTTAAATTTACTAGTGTATCCTTTATTGAAGAAGTAGTCCAACTGGGAATAGGTGCATGCTCTGGAGCTGGCCACACAAAAGAATTTCCAAAGACACCCTGACACATAAAGTCCAAACACATCTCCTCATTATATCCATGACTGAACAACAGCCTCAGCATCATGTCACCATTCAAAGAATATGCACTGAGGAAATGAGTATCATTAAGCAACAAAATTAGCAGTTGACATCTGCTCCATAAGATAGGAGTAGCTTTACAATTCCATGGCTGTCAGCTCTCACTGCCACGAGAACACAGTTAAAAGGATCCTTGCTTGGATTTGCTCCTGCTTTGAGCAATATTTTGGTGCAAATAATCTCATTGTTAGAAACAGCACAATAAAATGCAGTTTTTCTTCTGCCATCATAAGTATTTGAAGTTACCTCTTTGGATGAAAGAGTGTTGACATCCAAACCATTTCCAATAACAAGCTCTAGACACTGGTTCTGGCCATCTACAGTGGAGTGAACAGTGCTTAACCCACTTTCCTGGATTAAAGTTTAGGATGTGGCTTAAATTAGATACTTTCTGCCCCTGAAAAACAGTGAACAAAATTAGGCAGGTGTAATTTCTTTGCATGAAGAAATTAACCTTCATCCAGCTATATTCTAAATTACCAGCTAGACATTTTACAAAAGATGAAAACATAGAAACACCAGTTTTGAGCACTGTCAATAAGATGTTGTGTTTGTTTCAGTGGTTTTCACTTAACTCTAAGGAGCATGTTTTGCATTTTGCTTTATGCTAAAAATAAAAGCTAATTAAATCTAATCTAACACAGCTACTTCAGAAATAGAAATGTATATAAATATGTTTGTAAGTTTACTACAGCCATCTTAGATGTGAACTTGTGCCACACTGTTTCTTAGAGAAAATGTAAAGTCCAAGCTCATACTCACAGATAATACCCCTCACAAGCCACTTTGTGCATGGGAAGCAGTCCTACTTCACCAGGCACATTGTCACCTCCTCCATATTTCAAAAGCAGGGCCATGCAGTCTAGACTACATCCTCCAGCTGCTTGAAACAATACTGATGCATGATCATCTGCTAAGGCTTTGATATCTCCACTTCAAAGGAGGATACAGAACCTATATTTATATCCAAAGTGATTTATAGATCATCATAAAAACAAACCCAGAGTACTTTCCTTCTTATTTTCAGGTATATTTAAGGTAAAATTTTACTAAAGCATGAAATATTTTTTGTGGCAAATATAAAACTCAAAAGCAAAGTAAGAGGTGTACATACACAAGTTCCAGTGCTCATCTGAGTCAGCACTGCTTTGACTGTAAGCATTACAACTGAGGACTTTCAAACTGGCATATTTCAAAAATATTTCATTAATTAATACCAATATAATTCCATACATAGAAGGAAAGATAGGAGGGAGAGAGGGATGGAGGGACTGAGTGGAGTAAAGAGAAACACAAAAGGGCAAGAAGGGCACGTATAGCAATCTCTCCTTGACTGAAATGGATTGCTTTCAACTCTGCCACTCCTCTCATAAGCATTATGGAAACAGGTAAGCATCACTCCAGTCTACCAGAAACACCTATGCTTCTTTTCCTTCTAGCTCATTTCCTCTTTTTTTCCTGAAAGGCCTCAGCAGTCAGGCAAGATGTATGCCAGTGCAGAGTTGTATTTCTCTTTTCCTGAGTACACATCATTATAATTAAGATACTCCAGCACACCACAGTGTGAATGTGAATGTGTGAATGTGAATACCACATTCAGCTGTAACCCCTAATGGTGTTACTCAACATTTTTCCTTATTGTTCACATTTCCATCATTCTTCAGAACATCAACAATGTCTTTGCATGTTTGTTTTGTGGCTTCTTGCATTGCTGACCACTGTTTTATGTACATCTTAAAAGTTTTCTAAGCTTTAGAAAAGCTTTTCCTCATGGTTCTCTTTAAGGAAATTAAAAAGACTTCCAGTCCTAGAAATCTGAGAATCCAATATATGGCAAATAAACAGTAATGTCATCTTCTTGGGAATTCAAGGTTCTCAAATACAAGCTCAAAACTTTCTCAGTTTGAAGCATGGAATGCAAAAGCCACTTTGATTCTGGGAATCCATAAGCACATATATCAGAAGGAAAGCAAAAATTAAAATCACATAATATGCACATATTGTCCTTTTAAAGTTGTTGCAAACATTACAGTGTCCTGAGATAATTCCACTCGTGACTTTCTTTTTCACCTGGTAGCTCAGATCCTGGTGTGTACTCTGTGGCTGCTGTCAGCCAAAGTACAGGTGACATCTGCCATACTTAAAGGTCATGTTCTGTTGTTTTGAGGTTCCATAGTTTTCATGGATAACTACTCTTGCAAATGATTTCCATATAAAAGAGTGATGCTGAGTAAGAGTTTCATTTCACTTCTGAAAAGAAGGAATTTCTGCTTTGGAATAGCAGATCACTCAGTGCTGGGGCAGCTGAGGTAGATCACCACCATAGGGTTAGCAAATTTGTGAATGTCCCATTATATAAGATTTTCAAGAGGCAACAGTCTTCATAATTATACACAAGTGCTTTGAAGAATAGCATGACCAAATGTACCTGGAAGCTGAGA